AGATCTATCCAACAGCTGTGAATATTCTAAACTAACACGAGTCTCATATGTGTCCACTTTAAGGGTATTACACAGAAACACACCATAATAACATGAATCAAATATGTACTTTATTCATTTACAATAAATGTCATAATGTACATCATGTTGATTGGAACTAAGAGCATAAACTGTCTAACATGAGCCAATAAAATAAGGGTTATTGCTTTTTTTATCAGTTATAGTGTATTGGATTTATAAATTGAAGAAAAAGAAGTTCCTGACTACTTTAAGGATCTTAAAATGGGGCCAAACAAGTAGAAATGTTATGAGAAACATAATGTTGTTAGCCTGTCATACTGAGAAGGATAAATTACTCTGCATACAAGTTCCCCCCCAATTCAATCTCTCTCAAAATAAGATTAATTTTTAATTAACCATAAGATGCTCTAATGAACAAACAAATCTATTTGAAGCTTATATGCTTAGGTTCTCTAGTGTGATGCCTAGTTGGAGTTATTTGCTTAAATTTGAAGCCTTATCCCCTATAAATGCTTTTTGTTATTTGAGCATGTCCTTTACCAAACTTTGTTTGTGATTCACTGAACCTACTCCGAGTGTAAGCCGACAGCACCTTCTTGAATTCATTTACACTCTGGTGGACTTTCCTATTTTTTAACCATTAAAATCCCTTGATTATCACTCTATTTCAATTCCAGTTGCTGAACTTTGGAATTCAGAAAATGGGGAACCTTAAATTGGAATATCCTATATTAGATATAGAATATGATGCCTATTTTCCATTTCACTGCCATGCATGTTTTACAGAAAGATAGCCTAATGTGAGAAGTAGTTGAAAGAAGCAATTGTCTACTTTCAAAAGCAACTAGAAAGCTTAGAACATGCCTGGTTTCCATGTGCTGAAATCATCTGAATCTTAACCATCTCTAATTTGTAAAATGAAACCCCAGTTCTTAAGCTTTCATCTATCTCCAATTGTTCTGCCCATATTGAATTACCTTCAGATGAGGCTAACTCATGCTGATGACCATAAACCATGCCAATATCTTCTAGTTTGTCTTCCACATATTCCCCCACCTGATTTTTTGAGTTACCATTACTGTATTCATGGTCTGGTATATGCTCTTGGATGACAGCCTCTTCAACAAAAACAGGCGTCAGAAGGCCTTGGATGGCAAGACCAACTGAAGGTTGTTCCATCCAATCAATAGGAAGGTCTGACGCAGCCTGAACAAACAGAAACAAATTAAAGGAAAGAGTAAGAACAATGGTAATAACATCATTTAATTCTTCAAATTGGTAAATGAAGCTTGACACTATACATGCAGTAATTGAAAGGAGAATATAATAAACTCACAATGGTGAGCAGGATTTTAATCTTAAGGGTAAAAGACTAAAGCATACCCACCCTGAGTTTTCAGAAATTGACTTCAATATACCCTGAGTTTTTCAAATAGACTTAAATATACCTTGAGGATTGGCCCCACAGGACTTAAACATACCCTTATTTGATAAAATGTTATATGCTTTTCTATAAACTTCTTATTCAAAAATTCCTATTTTACCCTCCATAAACAATAGACCTCTTTTGAAAGAATATACCTTGTTTCTTGCTCTGTTTCTACAACTGCAACAGAACTTGATACCCCTTTTTAGTTAAATTGATTCCTGTGATATAAGATAGCTGAGATGTGCAGGGTGCTGGGTTTGTATTTACTGTGATTTTGAAGATTTGGTTCATTAATCAGATCATATTAGGGACACTTGATTGATTTTATGGCTTTGCTTGTGGATCAGTCTTGGTTTGCTATCAAATTTTAGTATTATTTCAATGTTGTTTGGAATAATTGTTTCTGGGCATTGGGAGTTTTTATATATAGATATAGATCTGTAAGAAGTAAAAACATGAGATTGAAAAGGATCTTGCCTTGATGTTATAGTGGTTTCAGTCATGATAGAACTTCTGTTTTTTTTTTTTTTCTTTTTGAGGTTCAGGCGATTGTTTACATTTCACATCAGCAGCAAACAAATAGAGCTTGAGGATTGAACAACTTCAGAGTAAATTGCAACTAATGAAAACTACCAACCAATTCACGGATTTCATGCTGATGATCAAGGAATAGGAATGGTGACCAGAGTTTAAGCCATTCCATCCTTATGTAAGATAAAACAGGCCTATAGTAAAATCTGCACAAACACTTCAAATGAAAATGGATATGTGAGATTTTTTATTTCTTTCTGATTTTCATTGAAAATTTGAAGAATAATGAAGGATAAAAAAAGCCTTTTAGTTAATTCCATAAAATCTAACATCCATAAGATATATTTAAAGTCTATGTGAAAAACTCAGGGTATGTTTAAGTCAATTTAAGAAAACTGAAGGTATATTTAAGTCTTTTACCCTAATCTTAAAAATAAGGTGAGAGAATGAAACACCCTTATTGCAATCAGTTACCTCAGCCAGCTTTTTAGCAAAATACATTGGGTGAGAAGAACGCATTGTCTCTAATTTCGCCCAGTCACCAAGTGTCTCATCAGAATCCAACTCATCTTCCTCATCTTCAAGAATTGCAACCCAGTCCTATAAAATCAAAAAAGAAAAAGAAAGAGAGAAAAAAAGAGAAAGGAAGACTATGCTTACAAGGACTAGGTCAAATAGCAAAAACTATCCCATATATCCGAGAGGTGAAATGATGAAACAAAATCACATAATATAACCACACCACACCTTTTCATAATCACCATCCTCATCTTCATCCCTATCCTCATCGTCATTGTCATCAATATCATCACCATCTTCTTCAGTGATTTCTTCAATGCCAAAATCAATATCAGATGGTCCAGACAACTCCATCTCCCTGAGCATTTCTATGGTATCCAATCCTATGATTACTTGCTGCATTCCAAAGTTTATACCATACAGTGTAATAATCGTAGCAAGACATTTTGAGGAAAAAAAAAAGCCCACAGAAAATAGTAAAATATATGCCAACTAGCAAATCGAAATATTTATACCACATAGTTATTCTCCTGAAGAATGCCTTGTTCTTCATTCACCTTGAAATAAACATCTGGAACACGCCGAATCATTTAACACTTAAAAAAATGCAACCAAGAATATCTGTTCCAAAAGGCCAAAACGCACGATAATGAAGTATTTTCATTGATAAACATGATTTCTCCAACTCACCTCCGTGTTCATCAGTTACATAAGGCAATTGAGGCCAGAAAATGCTCTCGTGAACTTCATCGTTTATCAGCCCAGAAAAAATGAGCGCTGCTTTGCTGTTTACCTATACAACGAGGCACCGACGTGATAGAGTAAGAACCATATTATCCAATCAAATGTATGTTCAAGAATGAATTGATGAGTACAATGTACAATGTAGTAGAACTTTCTACGCAATTCCAAGTTTCTTCATTTCTTCCTAGATTGGATACAGAGAGATTTACCTCAATTATGGTTCTAGCAGTTTCAGCAGCTGTGAGAATCGCGTCTTCACCATTGTCCTGTGGTGTAGATTCGGCTATCTCCTCAAGTGGGTGGTAATACGGCTTCCGATTCCGGTACAGAGGATTGGACGTCGGGCCTGAGTGGTTTTCTGTAGCCCGAACTCTGGTTTTGAGGACATTGTTTCTTGTTGAAAAAGAACAACCATCAATGAGTCTTGGAACTCTGTTCCTGTAAATCAATTCCATAGCTTGTAAGTTCCAACTAAAGTATGGCTGCCGTAAACAGTTCTAGAAAACTACCAACGCAAATCGAGACTGCTGCCGTGGGACAGACGACCGGAAGAAATGTGGAGACCGATGGGGTCGTCCGTGCTCCACAAGGGGCGGTAATCTGTGAAAGTGATAAAGAGAGGTTAAAAAAAAAGGACTAGATATATACAGAAAAAACTATATGAGTTAAGCAATAAAAGCAATGAAGTCTCACTTGCTATACTGCCGGAGGAGCAAAATCTGCCGGCGGTTCGGAACCCAACCGCCAGAGCTGATTCGATCACCACCATTTCTCTTCGCGCTGTGTGACTGCTGGTCGCGCTATGAGGTACCAAGACTTTCCTTCCAAGGAAGTAGGCTGTTTTATCCAGTGTTTTTAAAAACCGAACCGGAGGTCAACCCGTTTTTTCCTCCGGGTCACGGGTCACCAGTTCGACCGTCCGGGTTGAACGGTTCAACCCGTGACATCATAATTAAAAATATGAAAAAAATGTATTATATATATACACATGAATAAAACATATATAAATATTCAAAAAATTATATAAAACTATAAATAGACAAAAAATGTCTGAAATCTCTCAAAATTTATAAAATAAAATGTCTAATATTTACAAACAATATATAAAACTAGTGGGGACCCGTGCGATGCACGGGAAAATCTAAAAGATTTAATAATTTTATTTACTATTAATTAATATTAAATTAATAATCAAAATTTATTGTTAATTAACTAAAAGTATTCAAAGTTATTGTTAATATCTAAAATTTTAATAATTGTATTTTCATTTAATGTTGATTTACAGAAAATAATTATTGTTAATTTAACATGAATAAATATTTTTTAATAAATTTAGTTTTATTAATAATTTTTAGTAATTTTAATAATTGTTATTACTTTTATCATTTTAAATGAAATTTTGATTAACTTTAAATAAATAAAAATAATTACAAAAGCTAACATTTTTATTAATTTCACTAACAATTAACAATTATATAGGAATGACAACGGGGTGGGTTCAAGGTGGGGCACCCCATCCCTATCCTTGCCCCATAGTCAAGACACTCTACCCCATCCTCGCTCCGTCCCTAATGTCAGGCAGGTTCAAGGCAAGGCAACCACTCCCCAATGTCGGGTGAGTTTAAGGGTAAGGCCCTTCTCATCAAGGATGGGGAATCCTCGAATTTCCCCACCCCATCCCCAACATTGGGCGGGTTCAAGTAGAGGTGTAAATTGGGTCATGCTAGGCCAGCATGGCATGACTCACATGCAGCCCGCACAAAGTGCGGGCCAAGTCATGCTGGCCTATGGGGCGTCTCGAGCCATGCCTCCCTCCCCTAAGATAATGTAGGGGTCGATTCGGCACGGCCCAAGGCCCGAGCCCACACGGGCCCATGCCATGCCATGGGTCGAGCTGGTCCATGGGCTGAGCCTTGGGCCAAGCCAGGCCACGGACCAAGCCAAGCTATGAGAGGTCCATTTAAAAAAAAATGAAAAAGATGTTTAAATTTTTATTTTATATGATTTTTGATGTATACAATTAGACCTATTCATGGGTCGGGTAGCCCGACAGCCCGGCCCAACCTAACCCATTATTTTTCAGGCCTGGACAAATTTTTAGGCCCGTGGGCTTAGAGCTCTGGTTTTCTTAAATAAGCCTGGCTCGAGCCCGAGTAGCCCGATACTATTACATATATAAAAAAGTACTTATGTTATATATAATAAATAAATAAATAAATATATGCTTCTAAAATTATTAATAAATATCAATTTACTAATTAGGAAATATAAATTAGTTTAATAAATTATTACTAAATTAATATAATATTAATTTATAAAAGTATACTAAAAATAAGACATTTTGTGAACAAGTCAGGCTTCGGGCTCAGGCTCAGGCTCGAGCTTCGGGCTCTATATAAGGGTTGGGCTTGGGCTCAAGGTCTAGGCCCGATGGTTGGGCTAGGCTCGAACTTGGGCTTGCACATTTTCTGTTGATAAAGAGGCACGTGTTAATTATAAAACTATGTTTTTTTACAAATTAAATTTTTTATTTAATTCTAATCTAGTATAAAAAATATATAACATTTCTATATAAATTAATATAAATTTTATTATTTAAATATTATAATAATTTTTACCATATATGCATATAGCTTCCCAGTTGAGTTTATTAGGGGTTGTTTAGCTTGGGCCCTATCCGCTAAAGCCATCATTGGACTCCAAAAGTTTGATACCCAATTAGACTTCAAATCTAATTATCCTTGATAATGTGTGGGCATGGTGCATATCTCAGCTAGACCAAACTCAAAAGAAAATAGTTGCTTGTGCTTGCAAATTTATAGATCTAATTGGGTTAGGTTAAGTTATAAACGATTTGTTACTTTTTATTACTAATTATTAAAATACTGTATTTATTTAAAATACAGTAATTTCTATAAATTATTATATTTTTAGAAATATTGCTAATTTCCTGGTTGAAACTAATTAAATGTAATTTTCTGGTAATTAAATATAACTTTTTGGTAATTAAATGTAATTTTCTACTATTTATAACTTAAATTATAATTACTATTAATTATAGTTTAAAAATAATTATTGTTAATTATATTACTATTAATAATTAAAATACATTATTTTTTTCATTATTATTCAATATTTTTTGCAATAAAATACAATTAATTAATTTTTTTAATTGTTTTTAGTATTTTAATTAAGCTTTAGGTTTTTCAGAATTTTTGGATTTTTAATTAATTTTTGGTGTTGTTTTCATTATTATTCAATAATTTTTGCATATGAGTATTTTTAAATAATTTTTAGTGTTTTCAGCATTTATTTTTCATATTAGTCACTACAAAATTAATTTGCATTTGCTTTCATTAAAAATAAATTAAATAACTAAATAAATACCATAGTCAATAAAAAATACTACTAATTTTAAGTATTTTTCAAGAATTTCTGGCTTGGGTATTTTTTAATAATAAACTATTTATTGTACTTTTTAATTATTTTTAGTAAGTACCCTTATTAATATAAAATATTGTTAAATTTCAATATTTTTAATTATTTTTAGTATTTTAATAATGTTTACGATGGAGGTAGATTTGGCCTGACCCCTTGGCTGTGCGACACGTGGAAGCAACCGGGTATGATCTGGCAGGAGCGTCAGCTCGGCACAGCGACATAGCCATATCCCAAGAAGGGGCCCGAGCTCACCAAAAGGAACCCACACCCCGGCACCTCGGGTCAGTCCGGGCCACACTCCTATCCGAACTCAAGACTTCACCTCGTGCACCACTCCGGCACATCGACTCCAGGTCGCGTGACTGAATAAACGTACCTGACAAAGAAGTCCGTACTCTGAGGCAGCGCGCCTGACTGATTAGGGATTTGACACATGACAACCGCACTCCAACAGCCACCTGCTACCGCCATCTCAGTTGTTGCAAAGACGGCCCTGACAGAGAAGACAGTGGCGGTTATGCCTGCCCCCCACAGAGGCGGTTACACCTGATCTGGCAGAGGCTTGGGAGTGAGTGCACCAGGCTGGTTATAAAAGGCCCTCTTCCCCCAGAGTAAAGGTAGGTGATATTTTTGCGCCTTTTGGTCTCAGAATCTCTCATCCTCCTTGCCCTCTCAAAAGTACTAACTTGAGCATCGGAGCATTCCCACCGGGTTCCTCCCCTGGGAATCTCTTGTTTCCTCCCTGTTTCAGGCATCTCCTGCTCCATCAGAGGCAAGGCTACCGACAGCTAGGACCGACCGAATCGTACATCATCATTTGGCGTCGTCTGTGGGAACGCTTCGAAAAGCCTCCTCCAACCTCTAGCTCTTTTCTAAAGAAAGAAAACTTAGCATTCATGGCTTCCTCCAGTAGCGATAGACGTAATACCGACCTGAATGCCGTCGGGGAACACCCTCAGCCCCCCACTGTCTGCATCAGGCAATTCACCATCCCCCTCTCGGTGGACGGAATCCCTAGCCTGAATGTGCCACGAACAGTGGCACCTGTGAATGTTCCCCTTCCCCCCTCTGTTGAGACAACCTTCGCTGAACCAACCATTGTCCCCCTGGCGACCAACCACAACCAACTTGATGATTTGATGCAATTCATGCGGGCCATGCAAGCCCAAATGCAGCAGCTTCAGCAACACCAACTCTACCAGCAGCAGGTACTACATCACGTCTCTTAGTACCACTACCAACAATAGTGAAGGGATGAGAGATCCATCCTAGAAAATTAAAAAAAAATTATTTACAGACCAAATGTAATAAATAAATCAAGAAACTGCAAATCTTGCAGGTTCCCTGCGCAAACCAAGATTTYGATCTCCTCTTGTACGAACAACCCATTAATCAAGAAAATCATAAAGAACAATTCTAAATAATAAT